GGAGTCCAATCGTAAATCGTTTTGATCCAGATCAATCTGTCTTTGTAGATACTATTTGAGATTGCAGAAAACCTGGCTTTCTCATGTTAGACTGGGCAGGTTTTCTCCGTCTCTGCATTTTTCCTGGGGCTGTCTTCGCGGGTGCCTCCTCTATCGCTGATGCCATCGGTGATAGCACTCGGCTGGCAGCTAGCGGTATGTGCGCCTACCAGCCACAGCTTGCAGGGAGGAAACCCCACAACCGTTACGTGCCCAGAGCAACACAAAGTGAGTCTTTCGAAGGTTTTTATGCCCTTTCCTTGCCTGGCTGATGACATTCACTACTCTGATCCTCATCCCCTGCTCTTCCGTTGCTAGCTGTGCTCTTGGTGCCTCTTTCCGTAGGATCTTTAGGTCTGCAGGGTGTCTCTGTTTCCTTGTGCCCTGAGGTTTTGTCTCTTGAGTGTTGTATGAGCAGCAGGGGGGCTGGGGTTCTGGAGGAGCTGTGGGGGAGTCATGGGCTCCTCCCTGACAGCCCCTCCCTGCCTCTCCCGTAGCTTCTCCATACAACCGCTGCAAGGGCAGCATCTACCTGGTGTTTGACTTCTGTGAGCATGACCTGGCTGGTCTTCTCAGCAATGCCCACGTCAAGTTCACGCTCTCGGAGATCAAGAAAGTTATGCAGATGCTATTGAATGGACTTTACTACATCCACAGGAACAAGGTAATGGGCCATATCCATGCTGTGCTAAGGTCACCCTGCTCTCAGTGGCTTTCTAAGGAGTGGGTGTCTTAGCACAGGCTGGAGGGAAGTTCATCCTTGTCCTCCACCTCTGAGTGCCAGCCTGGCACCAGGATGCCCAAGGAGGGTACCATAATGGCTTAACCGTTTGGTGTCTGTCCTCGTACAGATCTTGCACCGAGACATGAAAGCTGCAAACGTCCTGATCACGCGGGACGGAGTCCTGAAGCTTGCGGACTTTGGGCTGGCTCGAGCGTTCAGCCTGGCTAAGAACAGCCAGCCAAACCGCTACACCAACCGGGTGGTGACTCTGTGGTATCGGCCACCAGAGCTGCTCCTAGGTAGGAGGTGATGCGTTCTGCCAGCTCCTCTGCCCTGCTCCTTCCCTCGGCTGACTAACACGGCGTCTCCGTTTAGGGGAGCGGGACTACGGTCCCCCCATTGACCTCTGGGGTGGAGGCTGCATCATGGCAGAGATGTGGACCCGCAGCCCCATCATGCAGGGGAACACAGAGCAGCACCAGCTCACCCTCATCAGCCAGCTCTGCGGATCCATCACGCCGGAGGTGAGGGCGAGAGCGTCGGCAACCTGCGGGAGGCGAGAGGCGAGCTGCAAAGTGGGTGGGGTGGGCAGGGTCTGGGACCGGACACTCCTGAACCTCTTCCCTGCCCTGTATGCTGGCTGCCACACATTCCTGGTACTGGAGTGTGCCCAGTGCCAGCAGGGAGGCTGGGGAAGCTCCTCCTGCATAGGCCGTTTGCCTCCTGGGAGCTGAGTGTACAGCGGGACACTGCACTTTGCTTGCTGCTCTGTTTAAACTACAGCTGCCACCTAACTTGTGTTCAACCTCCTAAACATGAGGGGTGAATGTGGCCTCCCAGATCTCCTTCGGGAGGGGCGGGTCGTGTCCCAGTTTTTGAGCGCAGGGAGGATGCTGGCTGCTGGGAGCGTGAAAGAACAGAACGTTATGTGTAGAAATCTGCTCCAGTCTGTGTTTGGGGGTTGTCTCTCAGATAAACGCCCTCTGAAATTTCTGCTTAAAGAAGGGGTTTGGTTTTGGTTTGTGTTGAGGGGTTTGTTTCAGGTGCTTTGCACTGGTCACCTTGAAAAGCCTCTTCAACTCTGGCTTGTGATCTGTGGCATCAGCTGGGCCTGGGAGCGAGCGCTCGGCCCTTTCTCAGCTTGTCCTGCCCTCTCGTGGGAGATGGAGCTGCGGGGTCTCGGCTGCGCTGTGATCTGGCGTGGTGTGATGTGCAGGCAGCTGCGGAGGCCCCGTGCCTCTCTTACATCTATTGAGGCCACTTTCTCTTGTGGTCTTCCTTTGTTTGATCTGTCCTAGAGCAGGGTTGGGGAAGTGCTGGTGATTGCAGCAGGCTTTGCTTTCTAAGGATTAAAGGTATCGTTTACATCCAGGTTGTTATTTAGCAATAGGTTTTGTCATTTCACCTTTCTGGATGTTGCAGCTAGCCTGAGCTGTGCTCTTTAGTCGCTCTTTTGTGGGAGAACGAGAAATCCTGGAGCATCCTGCATGCTGCTCCTACACCAGGAGGACTCTGTCCTGACTTGCTCACATGTCTCCAGGCTTTAGTGCCTCCTCCGTGCTGTGGGAACAAGGTCTGCTGGCTCGGAGGTTATAAAATAGGATTGTTCTCTTGGCCGACCTCGCCCTGGTTTGCCTGAGGCTGTTCGCATCAAAAATGGCTTGTCCTCTCCTTAACTATTTCCTCCCGACTCCCTTTTACTGCCCCTTTCCCAGGTTTGGCCGAACGTGGATAAATACGAGCTCTACCAGAAGCTGGATCTGCCCAAGGGCCAGAAGCGCAAGGTGAAAGATCGCCTGAAGGCCTACGTCAAGGACCCCTACGCGCTCGACCTCATTGACAAGCTGCTGGTGCTGGATCCCGCCCAACGGATCGACAGCGACGACGCGCTCAACCACGATTTCTTCTGGTCGGATCCCATGCCTTCGGACCTGAAAAACATGCTCTCCACCCACAACCAGTCCATGTTCGAGTACCTGGCCCCGCCGCGCAGGAGGGGTGCCCCAGCAGCCGGCAAACCAGGGCAGGAATCCGGCTGCCACCAACCAGACGGAATTCGACAGGGTCTTTTGAGCGGGGGGTGGGGTGGGGTGGGTGGGCTTCCCCGGTGGGGTCCTGGCTGGACTGATCCACGGGCTGCGTGAAGCGGGCATGTCCTGGCGGGGTCTTCACGTCTGGGAAGGGACTTCTCTTCGAGACGAAGCGCCTGCTGGCTTTAAGCGAGCTCTGCCCTCGCCTCGCGGCAGCTCAGCGCAACCAGGGAGGTGACGCCCGCGAGCCCGGGGGTTGTTTCCCAGCTGCCGCAGTCTGTACTGGTTACATAAATCTCGTGGATCAATCGTTACGGCGATGGAGAGAGTGTCTCTGTCAGTGCTGGGGCTCTCGGCAAACGGTGCCGTGACCGGCAGGACTGGGAGGAGCTGCCCTGGACCAAACCGGGCCCTGCTGGGAGCTGGCTCGGTCGTAGCTCCCGCGTGGCGTATCCTTTGGACGCTGAAGCGTTGATGTAGGACGGGGCAGGTGCCTCCGAGTGACGCGGAGGTGTCCTGGGGAAGGCAGCGTTGCTGTCGGCAGCATGACTGACTCACCGGAGTCTGGGCTCTGGCTTGGGAAGGGGTCGCTGGGCACACCGGAGGGGTGGCTGGCAGAGCTGGTTGCTCTGTACCTCCAGGATTTCGAGTGGGAATTGTTGATCCCCGTAACAGCACGCAGCGTCGACGCTTTCCCGCTTGCAACCTGCAATTAGGAGACTTGTCAGGCACACCCTCCCGCTGCCTGCTTTCCCCACGGCGCTGGCAGTGGCCGGAGTTTGGATGGGAAGAGGGAGCTTGGGAATGCCAGCCTCAGCCGGGGGTGACACCAGCCATCCTGCTGTCCCGCAGGGGCGTCCCAATGGCGTTGGGAACACCGCGCTGGGATCAGGGTGGCTTGAAACATGTGTGTGCCTGCTTCTCCGTCCCTCGGCACAAGCGTGAAGCGAGAGTCGCGGCCTTCCCCGTGTGCAAGCGACCATGTGTTGGCGCGCCTCCTGCCGCAGCTTTGACTTGTCCGTGCGCCTTCTGCCGGAGCTTTGCCTTCCAGGGCCGTCGGCTGCAGCTGGCCCTGTTCTCGGGGAGCCCCGGGGATCCGCGTCCCACGTGCGGCGGGCGATAACCTCTGGCGTTTGATGGGTTGTCCGTTAACCAGGCGAATGGCAAAAGCCACCTCGGGAGCGTAAGGTCTCGGGGGAGGAAGCGGTGGCGTGTGGGGCCGCTTGATGGTAAAGGACGCGTATTAGGTAAATCTCTCTCGGTGCAGGGCTCGGAAGCAGCGTCCGGTTTTGGGGGTGGCGTGGCTGGGTTTCTTGGGGGATAAAGCGACGTTGGTTGGAAGCAAGAAGCCGGTTGGGAATAAACACGATGCTGACCCAAAGGGCCGGTTTTAAGCTTGTGTCGCTCTTCTGGCCGGAGAAAGCGGCTGGAGA